ATACTAAACCTAAGCTTTGCAAACATTTCTATGTTCAGTCACGGGATATTCAACTCTTGTTTAATTAAACTTAATTAAAATGCAATTCTCCATTGTATTGCATTGTAATTGAGTTTAATTAAACTCCAATTAAAACGCAACCCTATATAGGAACGCGTTTTAATCGAGTTCATATCGCAACTATATTAAAAGTTAATTCAACTATATTAAAAGTTAATCCAATGTAGTCCTCGGAACATATTGCAATACAAGTATGTGTGTGTGTGTGTGTGTGTGTGTGTGTGTGTGTGTGAGTGTGTGTGTGTGTGTAATTTCCAGTGTCTTCACGTATTAATTCCTCTTTGATTTTTTTGGCTTGGCCGATTTCACTTAAACTTGGCAGGCAGGTCAAACCTTCACTCTAGTTAGTAGGTAGAATGTGAAAAAATTTTTGGCTCACCATTGCTATAACAACAGCCAAAAAACTTCGCGCCAAATATATCTCCTACAAATTTAGGATTAAAAGCCTCAGACATAGCTCACTCTACTCAGCTTGAGTGTGGGCAGAAAGTTACTACTTAAATCTTTTTTCATTACCAAGAAATTTGACCCCAAAGTTGGGGTAACTGTTCACTAGGAACGGCTTTTTAACTCTTCTGTGATTTGTTTGGCTTGTCAGATTTTGTTCATACCTGGCAGGTAGGTCATACCATTACAAATTGGGATAAAAATCCTGGCCCACTACTGCCATGGCAACAGCCAAAAAACTTATTTTTGAAAACTTTTGCTCCAAATGTATTACCTCCTACTAGTCTTGTAACAGCAGTGTTTATTGACAAATGATCATGCTTTTTATTTTGGCTAAGTCGCGCATAAGCAAGAGATCGCTGGTGCCAACATTGTTACATTGTATCAACACAATCTCAACATTCCCAAACTTTGAACTTTAAATGAACTGTAAATGCTGCGCTCAATCAAAGAATCTAGAATCGCAAAAGAGTCAGAAACTTTGAACTTTAAATGAACTGTAAATGCTGCGCTCAATCAAAGAATCTAGAATCGCAAAAGAGTCAGAAATAAAGTGACTTCTAAAGACTGAATTTTTTTTGAGAACTTTGTGTACAGAGCCCGGTTTTAGTTATAAACCAACGTTGGCTTCAAGTTCATGATCTACCTTGGCAACAGCCGAAAACGTGTTTATTGAGCAGAGCGGATTGCCAACCAGCCTACCGGCTTGTTTTAAGTGATTGTTTGCATGAATATTGCATTTTAGTGATGTTGCAGATGTGATTAATATTTGTAACACATTCCTACACTTTTTGTGAACGATTCAAGTCTTGTTTTCACTGGCAGATGATTATTAATACTTAAATATTTGGTGCATGTTTTTCCATTCAGGATGAAACTCGTGGTGAATGCCGAATAGTTGAGGGACATTTTCTCTCACCATTACAAGTACATCTACCTGGCATCATGCCAAAAGAAGGTGAAATTGCAAAGTGAGTTTGGGCTCAATTAATATGTACATTTTAATTTAAACCAAGCCTTCATTTTACTGGTGAACTGTACACCAATTTCTTAGTTTTTCTGGAAAAATATTTATTTATTTCTAGTTTACATTTATTTATTATGTAAAAGGCGCAAGTGGAAATCTTGCATCTTATTGTGTGGTAATTTTTACAAGGCAATATTGAAATAGTCGTTAATACTGATATACTAGATATCAGCTCTTAAAAAAAATTAGGATTAAAATACTTGCTTATACTTTATACATTTCAGATTTCAGTTCATTTTACCAAAGACATGGAAAACTAGGCATAAACCCGTGTGCATTCACCTCGCTGGCACTGGTGATCATGTGAGTAGTTTCTCAGAGATATATTGTCTATGTAGTCTTTGCTGTATATCCACCAATAAGTTTGTACATTGATTTTATACTGCAATGCATATTGCCATGGTTGTGAGTTTGAATCTTGCATGTTGGGGATAAATGTATATTTCGTAATATGCCTGTAATTAGTTCCTATCAGACATAGTCCAAAACAGGGACTTACATTTTGGGTTCCACCTGTGCGTGTGTTTATCGTAATTTCTTAGAGATGCCCAGCCCAATTTAATTCAAAGTTTGTACAAAGGTGGGTTTTAGTGGAATACATATTGATATCAATTTGTTTTTCGTTTGGTTGACCTTTGACCAACTGGTAGCTATTTTTGTCCCCAAAGATCAACATTTGAACATATCATCAACCATTTCTCAGGCATGCCCTGACTGATTTCAATCAAACCTGGTATTGACATTACTCATGATGGGTTTACTGATGCCTGTCATTTTGTTTCTTGAGTTAATTCAAAATGGCCGAACTGGTGGTCATTTTGTTTTTTAAGAAGTGTTTTGCCCATTTCTCATATAGAATTGGCTTGAATTAGGAACAAATTTAAGACATAATAGATTGATTGTTGTCTTTAGTTATTTTCAGATTTAGATGAAATTTGTGTATTATCTCTTGTACTTTGTTTTTACCATTATGAAATATTTGAATTGTTGTCAAATTGAAAGCTGTTAGGCTTCATCATTTCTACTCTTTTCAGTACTTTTGGAGAAGAAGAACCATGATGGCTAGACCGTTATTGAAAGAGTATGGAATTGCTTCACTTCTATTGGAAAATCCTTACTATGGTACTAGGAAACCAAAAGACCAACTGTAAGCTTTTTAATATCATAAAAAAAAGATCTGTTTTTGGTCAGTGCATGCACTAGTTTGAAAGTTTCACTTCAAATAGTCGTCGCTGCACTAAACACATCTGGGCCACAAATAGTTTTCTTCTTGACAGGATTATAAAGTTTTAAATATGTGTGACACAAAATATTGCTATACAACCCTCATATGCAGTCATGTGCAGTCAATGTTGTGGATAGATTAATGTTGATAGAAACTAACTTTCCAAATACGGAATGAGAGTCTGTACAGTTAGACTGTGTTCTGGACGCCTTCAGCGTTTGTACACTGTATATCACAGGATTTGAATTTTACAAAGCCATGAAAGAAAATTTCCTTTGGTGCTCCTAGATATTCAACATAATATTCTATTAAAGCCAAAGCACTTTTATTAATTTCAGCCTTGAAATTGGGTCCCCACTTCACTCAATCACTTCAGTTCAAACACTGTGTCATATTTGCATCACATTTAGACACTTTCCTTTGTTTATATGCGCCTGGATTTCTTTCACGTTTACTAGCAGGCATAAATATCTAAAGTATTCAAAGTCTGCACAAATGTTGTATAGGATTTTAATCAACTTCTGTTATGCATTGCTGCTTTATTGCAAACTTGCATACATCATACATAATTTTATACATAATGTTATACATATGCACATCAATTTGTTTCACAATCTGATTCATGATGGCTGAAAGGCCGCCTTTTTTCGTGCTTAAAAATCATTTCTGGAACTGGATCTCGGCTGTTTACAGATGGATTTTGTTCAAACTTGGTACATGTACATACATTGGACGTCATTTTGTCATTTGTTCGGATTCAAAATGGCTGACTGGTGGCCATTTTGTTTTAGTGAATGTGGTTCTAGTGTCATATCTCTGACATATGCTTTGACTGATTATGTTCAAATTTTATATATTCATTATACATCATGTCATAGATATACAGATGTATTAGTTTGACCATCCAATTCAAAATGGCCGACCAGTGGCCATTCTGTTTTAATTAATGCTGTTCCAGAGCAATATCTCATTATGGACAAGTACTTGTTTGACAATCAGATACATATAAATGTCAGTCATTTTAATGTTAACAAATCATAATCAAGCATCAGCTTCTGGATCAATATCTCGTACATGTTTAAGTTCCAACTATATTACTATAAAGAAAACTATATATCTTAAATTTGATAACTATAACAGGGACTGTGCCATGCATGGCTTATTAAATCTAACTAATCATACCTCACAATTAACAGACACCTTATATTTTCCTCACCAGTCGTTCGAGTTTACACAATGTCAGTGACCTGTTTGTAATGGGCGGTGCTTTAATATTAGAATCGTTAGCTCTTCTTCATTGGTGTGAACGTCAAGGATTCGGACCTCTTGGTTTGACTGGTATTTCTATGGGAGGTCATGTAAGTATTTTCACTGCAATTGACCATTTTCCGTTCACTGCGAGAATCACGCGTTATGCGTGAAATCAAACGTAAAAACAGGGCAAACAAAGGTCAAAGTGTCGTAGTGGCGTCAAACATCACAAGGGATTCGACAAACGCGAAAGTATTTTTGGGATATTTCCATGCTTAATAATGTGCTGTACACATTTGATGATAGGCAATTTTGATGAAGTAAGGGTATTCGAAAGCAATATTCCTCTGTCGAAGATTGGCCGGTCGATGTGAGCTACGAAATAAAGAAATTTGAGTTCAAAATCAAATTGTTCGATTTTTGTGGCAGACGTACGACACGTCTTTCATGCAACTCGCGAGATCTCACAGTTGAACAGAAAATACTCTCTCACTGTATGTTACTGTCAATTGTTAATTGTGTTTTGAAGAATGACATCAATACTGATGAGATGAAAATAAATAGTTCTAGCCAGTCTACTGAGTGAAAAATTACATGAATGTGATTGTTTCTTGTGTTAAGACGAATTACTTTGTTTACGTCATGTTTACTATATATGGATGATCATTATGCAATCATTTTTTGAGGAAAACAAAATGTTCAATAACATGAGTGACACAAGTGAAGCAGACATGAAATGCCATTTTCAACACCAACAATATACATTCACTGCTTGAACTAACTAAATTCACAAATATCAGAGCAGCCGTTTAAGCATAAAAACATATTCAATTTTATACGTTATTACATTCTAAATAGAAATATATTTTTGTGTGTGATAAGATTTAATATCCACTTGTTTTCTGTCTGCTGCAGAAGGGTGACATCCCAAGGTAGTGTATTGTGTAAAATTAGTGATGAATTGTTGACATCATTTCTTTGTATTCGTCTTGCGTTTTCCTCTAGATGGCGAGTTTAGCGGCAACCAATTGGAATAAGCCCATAACTTTGATACCATGCCTGTCTGGAACCACTGCCACTCCCGTGTTCACAAGGGGTGTCTTATCAAATGCTATTCCATGGAAACTGTTACAAACACAGTACGAATGCGATAATGTATATAGTGAAGAGATCACTAAACTAATACATATGCCAGGGGTGAGTACAACTTTAAGTTGATATCAACAAAATGTGAACTGTTGACCATAAAAATGTAATTTGTATACCTTCACGTTCATTTATCTTTAGGATATGTGTTATTTCCAATTTAAATTATTTCAAGAACTCTTAACTAGAATTACATTACATGTAGTTACATAACATATATTGCCTGACTTGTATTCTTGTTTTTTTTTTACAGAGTGACTCCTTTGAACTTGGTCAAAAGTTTGTTAGAAATTATCCAGAAACTGTGAAACATTTCAGAACCTTTATAAAGGACAAAACAACAATGAAAATTAGGAATAAGGAAAGCAGTACAGATCAGGGCATTTCAGTAGGAAAACTAGAAATTGAACAGTCAATTGAAAAACACCCAGAGATGTTTGACATAACCACCCTTGTGGAGTCTAAAAGATGTGCAAAGGAAATGGCCATGGCTGGCGGTGTGGTTCATGACGCCCACATGACAGACACCAAACATGTTCGGTATGATAATGCTGGAGCCAATGGGGATAATTCTGATCTCAGTGATCAAGAGACTGTTAAGAACAGAGCAAAAAAAATCTCAGAAACAGTAGAACTAAAACCCAAACTGAAAAAGGGAAAGGAAATAAACACAGGATGTAGCAGCCTTGAAAGAAGGTACAAGTACCTCAACGAGCAGACTACACATTTTATGAGAGGTGTGATGGAGGAGGCTACTTCTCTTACTAACTTTTCATTGCCATTGGATCCAAGTCTTGTTATTTTTGTTTCTGCTACTCAAGATGCGTATCTTGTACCTGAACATGCTCCAAGACCGCAAGACATCTGGCCTGGTAGTCAGGTTCGCTATCTGAAATGTGGACATATACATGCAGCGCTCTTGAAGACGCATGAATTCAGGTAAGATCTCATCCTTTTATATATCTTCATATATCAAATTACATCTTATAAAAGCAGATTGGTGATTGCTGTATTGTTTAAGGTTGTAAGAGATTAAACTCACCTGGAATTTGTTTTGCTCTTCTTCCAGTACTGTAAAATACTTTATTTTCGCTTGGAGTTAATTTTCGCCATTTTCGCTGATGGAATGATTTGGTGAAAATAAAATCCAGCAAATATACTTTTTTTTATACTGTATTTTACATTCAACTCGGCAAAAATCAGTGAAAATAAATTCCATACAAAACACCCAAAAAAGTCTCTTCAGTGAAAATTAACTTCAGCTAAAATAAATTATTTTACAGTATATAGCTATCATAGTCTAATTTGAATGTTTTTTGAAAATCTTCCAATTCAGCACCTAAAATTTAGTTTTTGGCGCTCAGAGTCAGTTTTTGTAATACACAGTTGATCTTCCATTATCGTGTCTGCTTTGAGCAGATTGATACCTTTAGCTTTAAGTATACAAGTCCAAGAAACACAAAACAATTTGCAAGAACACAAAACAATTTGCAAGAACACAAAACAATTTGCAAGAACACAAAACAATTTGCAAGAACACAAAACAATTGACAAGTACACTACACTACAGTCGCTTTAGTATTTTGAATATTTATATATTGACCCCATGGTATACATGAAATGAGTCGTAATCAAAGGTCTACATCAGATTAGTGACATTGATGTTATTTGAGGTTACCTTTGACATTAAGACATTAAACACTCCTGTTGTAACACCCCTATTTATATATACTGTGGAATACTTTATTTTCGCTGGAATTAATTTTCCTTGAAAAGGCTTTTTGGGCGTTTTGTATGGAATTTATTTTCACTGATTTTTGATGAGTTTAATGTGAAATATAGGAAAAAAAGTATATTCGCTGGATTTTATTTTCAAGGAATCATTCCTTCAGCAAAAATTAATTCCAAGCAAAAATAAAGTATTCTACAGTATATATATAGTTAACGTGAGTGAATCTGGTATAAAACCTGACCAACTTTCCATCAGGAAGACTAAATCTACTAGAGGGTGTGGTCTACCTCCTCTAGTCACAAACAGTTGGGAATTGAGAGTCAAGTTGATACTAAATGCAGAATGTACTAAACAAATGTTTGCATTCTCTTTTTTTTTTTCTATTTGTAGGAAAGCCATTAATGATGGGTTTAGTATGTTGATAAACAAATACTATTAATATGATGCAGATTCGCAAATACAAAGAATATCAGGATGGTAAACTCAGGACACTTGCACACTGACAAGGCTGGATTATAATGTGTAAATGATAAATACATCAATCTTCACAAGTTCAGTATTTTGAAAGGAGCTAGCACATATCTACATTGCTATTTGTATTGCCTTATAAGGGTATAACCTTGAATATAAGGACCCCAAGAAAACCATCTTGAAGTATGTAATCAACTTGTGTCTACCTACTACAAACCACATATCACATTGGACATGTTACAAGCTGAACTGCCATTCTTCTTATTGAACTGTCTGTGAATAGCCGCCTTTATGATACACTGGAATATTAGCATTATTATTTGGTGTGTACATTTCCAATTTGGGATCTATCGATGCATAAAATTCTTTGGTAATGAACAACATGTTGTCTTTGGCACTGGTGGTAGGTAGCATGTAACTTAGATCACAGCTAAGTAATAGGGATTGGAAAATCTGAAATTAACCAGCTCACCACAAGTCTTTCTTGTCCAAATTTTCGCACTTTTTTCTTTATATTCTTCAATATTTCTGGAAATGAACCCTAATTTTTAGAGCCAACAAACCAACATTTTATTCAATTTTCAGTTTTTACTCCAATAATTTGGCAATTTTTTGTCGCAATCTTCTGAAGGAAAGGGCAGACTATAAACAGAACTATTTTATGAATTTGCGATGAAAAGAGGGACCTGGTAGTGAAAATGTTAAATTGCACTTTAGAATAAGATCGATTCAATATCCCTTACATGTTCTTGCTGTTATACTTATTGAGATTATTTAACATAATTTGATTATTTGAATAACTGGTATATAGAGAACGTGGTATTTTTCAGACATCTAACAATGTAATTTCCCAACTATACTTTTAATTGATGTGATTACGGTAGTTCTACTTGGCAATTTTTGAAATCTACTATTTTATCCAGTAAAATTACTGGTAGTGCACAATGTTTTTTTCCTTTCTAGTTCACTTTCCATGTAACAGGATTATTAGATGACCTTTTCTTGTATTTGGTTTTCACAGCTGACTGTTGTCTACTTAGATTGGCAATATAATATGGATAAGTGTTTATGGTTCATTTTTAAAGTACATTTGAATTGAAAACAACAAAGTATCATTTTGCAACTAAAAATGCAATTTATAGTCACTTGTTTTCTTGACTACTTTCAAGCAAGTGCTCTTTCATTGAATAATGTTTTTTTCATAATATTTCTGGCATTTATGTGCTATTATTGTATTGTTTGAAAGACAGTTGAAACACATCAGTCCCATGGAAGGATGGTTTTTCTAGTCGATCCGAATTAGAAATCAATTTACATATCACCTGAATTCCTGTGACCAATCCAATTGGTCAATGCAGAGTGTCAGCAAATTGTACTAATGTCATTTATATATCCATCTAAGTGGTTTGCTACTAGAATCTTGACTGGCATGTTTTACCAAACATTTATGTGGACGATGCCATAGTTACATGTTAAGTAACATAAATGATAAAGTACATCTGGTTGCTATATTAATTCAACTATCGATCATAATGAAGAATGGAGTCCCATTGCTTTGTTTGCTTTTGAAATCTTGAATGGATCCTGCTTGAATGGCTCAGTTAGTATGTAAAATCTGTTTTTACGTTAAAAATAATACATTTTTTGATGACCCATATTGGGTTGGGGAAAAAAAACTGGGGGAATAGGTTATTTTTATATTTGCATGCAATCATTTTGTAGACACGTTTTGAGTTTGTGATATTTTTGGTATACTTCATATGGTAATGAATTGTGCATGTTTACACCAAGTGTAAATTCAGTGGATTGCATTGGTCTGTATTGAATTGCTGTTACTTGTTAAAGTGGGGGAGTCGTCACCTGTGTATGCGTCAGATGGCCATAGCGTGTCATTGATTTCAAACAAGTGTCTACCCATGTACCTTTGCGTTTTTAGCATGTGGTGTTATCAAAGCTTAGGACTCAATTTCCCCCCACGCGTCAGATGGCCATAGCGTGTCATTGTTTTCAAACAAGCGTCTACCCATGTACCTTTGCGTTTTTAGCATGTGTTGTTTTCAAAGCTTAGGACTCAATTTCCCCCACGCATCAGATGGCCATAGCGTGTCATTGTTTTCAAACAAGCGTCTATCCATGTACCTTTGCGTTTTTAGCATGTGTTGTTATCAAAGCTTAGGACTCAATTTCCCCCCACGCGTCAGATGGCCATAGCGTGTCATTGTTTTCAAACAAGCGTCTACCCATGTACCTTTGCGTTTTTAGCATGTGTTGTTTTCAAAGCTTAGGACTCAATTTCCCCCACGCATCAGATGGCCATAGCGTGTCATTGTTTTCAAACAAGCGTCTACCCATGTACCTTTGCGTTTTTAGCATGTGTTGTTATCAACGCTTGGGACTCAATTTCCCCCCTGCGTCAGATGGCCAAAGCGTGTCATTGTTTTCAAACAAGCGTCTACCCATGTACCTTTGCGTTTTTAGCATGTGTTGTTATCAACGCTTGGGACTCAATTTCCCCCGCGCATGCGCATGTCACGACCCTCCCGCTTTAACAGGTACTATGATAGCAAATACCCCACTAAGACGTTGGTGTGAATAAATTTAATTATAAGTATACCATGTAGTTGTTCCATCGTTGACTGAAGAATGCATGATACCTACACTAGCTCAAAGTAAAAGGCACCACACTTTTAGAATACACTACATGCCAGGATTTATGAAGATTTACCTCTTTTGTGTGAGACAAGGTTAATTTGCAAGTGAGTTCTTGAACATTTCCAACAATCTGTGAAAAATTGGAAAAGTACAAAGTTTAAACTGAATCCGTTTACACACCTCTGAGATGGTGAGAAAGTGTACTGTTCATCTTGAATCGGACCATCAAACAAATGTACATGCATATATCCAATAACATGTCTGTTTGTGTTAAGCTTGAAGTGGATCTATGCAGGTATAAAATACAGGTGGACACTGGCGCATGCAGGTCAATCCACCAGTCCTCGTTTTTTTTTTATAACTTTTTTTCAACCTGGAAGTACCCCAAAAGTATGAGAATGTCCAAGAAATATATCTTTATGGTTTTAGGCGGTGGATTTTAAGTTCAATAAAACATCATACACGCAATTTCCTTGGTGTAAAATTATCCCAGTAGAGTACTTTTACAAAGGAACGTTTTGTAAAGCATTTTAATGAAAATGTTATGGGTTTGATATGTACATATAAAATATAAACATTTTACTATATTGACACTGGTAAAAGATGTTCAACTGAGTTGTTGTTCATATTTTTTATCTCAACACTGTAGTGATATCAAATATATCGAATTGGTTTAGTGCATTCTAGTCTAGTTTCTCAAGCGCTCTCTCCAACTTCACAACATCCAAAAGAGTTTTTATTCCTTTATCTGTACTTGCAGACGAATAGAAAAACTCTGGCGCCTTGATTAGTACTGATTTCAGTCCCTTCACATCCTCCCCCGTGTATCCGGAAAATCTTCCTTTCATGTGACTGAGATTATTCTGCATCAGCCATGTACTGACGTCACTGTTTGTCCATGCATCAGCTGACGTCTGTAGAGGTGTAGATCCTGTTGTTCCAATCTGAACTACTTGAGCTAAAAATGTACAATAATAAAACAATAAAATTATTGACCTGTATTTACGTGTCGCCAATGACAGAATACAAATTTCGACACTGGTATTCCAAGAATCGAAAGTTGTTAATATATATTGGTAAATTCATTAATGGACTGGCCATTAGAAACTGTTGCAATTTTCAAAAAAGAATCTGCAAAATTTACAGTTTACAGTAAAATATAGTGAAAACAAGTGAAGGAAAATAACGTTCTGACTCTGTAGTCATTAAAGGCGTCCACGTTATAAGTCATCAAACTAAAATGCCAGTTAATTAGTACACATTTGTTGTCTGATTCATTCGCAAACGCTTTCCGTAATGATGAAAGCTACCAATCCAGTCGTCTCATTTGAATGGGATTGACTTCAAATGAAATCATTTTCAAATTGGTGAAATAAATTTGTTATAAGTATATTTACAAAGTTTAAACATGTTTTTGTTGATTTCAGTATACCATTTCCCCCACTCAGCATAGCTAATAGTAAACCTTGTACACTATCAGATATTGATAACACCTTACCCTTATCCCGCTCCACTGTTTTCTTTACTCGTTTACCTCCTATCGATTTCTCAAGCTCTCGTATGAGGTCTGGCATCACTGTTGCCATGGCGTTGGCTGCACTGAAGTCGTAGTATAAATTGTTTGCCTCTATGATTCCTAACCAGCCATCAGGAGTATAATTGGGTTGAACTCGAATCGGTATGATTGTCTTTTTTCGTTTATATGCATATTCAGCCTCTGTTTCGTAAAGAAAGAAATGATTTTGTTAATACAATCAAATATTATTTGTTGGTTATCTGTAGGCGTAAAATTTTGTTATGTTTGACATTTTATACAGCTTGCGTACAATAAGTATAAATTGATCTGTACCAATTACTGTAAAAGGGTTAATTATTCACTGGGTTTTAATTTTGCTTATTTCGCTGACTGGAAAATGCGCTAAATTAAAACCCAGTGAATATGTAAAATTGAGCATAGAACACATTAGAACACAATGACAAAACAGTGAATTTAAAACCCACGGAATAGGCCTGAAATGGTAAATCAGTGAAATTTAAACCCAGTGAAAATTAGTCATTTTACAGTATAACCTGACATGTACATTTGTAGGTGTGTGTGGCGCCCTCGCTGGCTAAACGGCATCAAACCCTTCTAACTGTGTTGGGTTTGGAGCGCTGCGGAGGGTGCAACTCGCGCGACCTTGTCAGGTTATACGATTACAGATTACAATTTGGCCGATTGATTCGTGGATACAATGAGCTACCCAATGTCTTACCAGAACGACAACTTTGACTGTCTTTGTATTTTTCAGAAACTGTCATAAGAACAACATCTGCATTTTCAACAGCGCCCGCCATTGCTTCCAGTGTTGAACCTCCTAGGAAATAGATAAAAATAATATTTATGTACAGTAATATCAAAATCAGTCGTGCAAAATCAAAATACACAAATTACTGTGAAGCAGAACAAAGTGTATTACTGTAACATTACATTGTGACAAGTAAGTTAAAGGGTGGTGGTCGTCGCACAGCGCGTGTTTGAATTTTATTTAAATTAAACCATGGAGCAAGTGACATATAGAAATGAAAGATCAATTTTTTTTAACACTAACACAGATTATAGATTGCGTTACTGTCAGTATAGTACCTACGTGAAAACGTTGAACTATATCTTACAGAGGAAATAGCATGAAAGAAAAACGCAGCCAGTCGGGTATTGTTGTTCAAGTATCTCCAAAAGAAATATGGCTTGCACCATAACTTAATATGTAAGGTCATCATACAAAGTTTGATTGAAAATGGCCTATTCAACTTTGAACTGAATCAGGCCATATCGCTCTGTTCAGCTCCAAGAAACAGTTCTGGACATATTACAAAATGATATTTTTCGTTTTTTTTGACAAAATGGCCACCATTTTGACAAATTTGATAACATCTAAAGACAAAACATGTTGTGTTACCCTGCAGTATACAACCTATGTGCAAACTTTGAACTGAATCAGGCCATATCTTTCAGAGGAATCGGCACAAAAAATGGGGAAAAAAAAAAAAATGACCGCAAGTCGGCCATTTTGGTCAAAATTTTGAAAAAAATATGACGTGCATGTGTAACCCAATATACATGATCATCATACAAAGTTTGATTGAAATCGCCCTATTCAGCCCCGATAAACAGTTCCGGACACATTAAAGACAGTGATTTTAAGATATTAAACAAATTTGATCAAATGTCTCAAAACAAAACATGGTGTTATGTTATCTTGAAGTATGGTACCTACATTGTATGTACAGACTTTGAACAGAAAAAAACAAAATGGCCGCCAGTCGGCCATCTTGGACCGAATCTCAAAAAAAAAAGTGTCGTGCACCTATAACCCAATATGCATGATCACCATACAAAGTTTGATTGAAATCACCCTGTGCAGCTCGGAGAAACAGTTCCGGACATGTTAAATATCAGAATTTAGCAAGTTTGAGGTCAAAATGGCTGCCAGTCAGCCATATTTAATCGAATCACAACGAAAATTGGCGTGCATATGTAGGTCATCATACATTGCTGTATGCCAAGTTTGAACGAGATCGGTCAAAGGGTGTCCGAGAAATAGCTCCAGACGGACGCACGGACGGACGGAACCCAAATTAATAGTCTCCATTTTGGGACTTCGTCTGAACGGGGATTAAAAACACCCATGAACGTCATGCTACATATTCTTAAGACTGGTCTTTATTCTGACAATCATGATAATGGTGCAGATTCCTTCCCAAAAAAACACTGTTTCCATGCCAGCCGAATCTAGATTCAAGTTCCTTCCAAAATCATGTTAATTTGACCTTGTCTCAAAAACAACCCTACTAAAAATATCATGACAATTCATTCACAGCTTACTTATTGTGTAATTATCTGAAAATATTAGTTGAAACATTCTGTCTCCATGATAACTGATCTGTTGATTGGTCGACATTTTGTAATAAAATCGTCCACAACATTTTGAGATATCCTGCTTCAAGCAAACAAATGCCGACAAAACATGACATTCTCAAATAAACTCACCCATTTGTTCGACGTCCATCCACACTTTAAATCCCGCATCTTTCAAACGATTTTTTACTTGCACCATTAATTTCTGACAGTTCCATTGGTAGCTTATCATCACATGACCGCTACTTTCCACAGCACGAGTCACACTTTCACCACCATCACGGAGTTCCCATAGTGCACCATTGCAAGCTTTCTTAAGGCCAGAGTTGTCACTGTGCTGGAGTTTTGTCAGAGCTTTATAAGAAAAAAATGTTGTCATTACATTTAATTAGTGCTCTTGCTCAACAAAAATATATTGTTCCATTCATGGACAAATGGACCTTGAAGGGACGTGGTTACCGTGCTGGTCATGCGTTAGGATTTCGTTTAAAGCGCGGTGGTCGTCGCGTAGCGCATGTTCGATTTTCATGTAAATAAACAATGTATTTTACACGCGTTATATACGTCGCTATGAGTCCCATATCGAACAGGACGCGGCTCGACGACCACCGCCCTTTAAACATTGGATTTTATGCACGTTCTTGTACGCCTAGCATGGGGCCAATATAAAACGCGACGCGTTGTGAAGACCGTCGCCCTTTATTAATTTCAAATCTTTTCGTGTAATGCCATTTTAGATAGTGTTCTTCACAGCATCACATTCGTCGTGTGCCATACGATGTATATACAACGCGAGTAAAATACATTGCTTGTTTGCGCGAAATTCGAACACAAACTGCGCGAAGTCTGTGGTCCTTCAACCCTAATTTTACCATCTCCATAAATCTGTTAAGGAGTTGGTACAATTTTATCTAATACTACAAATTGTTGCATAATGTTTTCACATACAGTCCATGTTATGACCAATGAATTTCACCGATTAGCGAAAACAAGAAATCTTTTCTATTTTTCTGTTCCTACTTTGAGATTATAATGATCATGTTGAACATACCTTCTAAACATCCCTCTTCTTTCCGGATACGATCTTTGTTATCGGCATGGAATGCTAATGTCCAAATTGCAGTAGCCGCTAAACAGTGTTCTTCCGTTGAACACTCGGACGTCAGAGTTGCCACAAGTAAGGGCAATACGTCGTTATTCACGAATTTCACCTAACGAAGAAAAAAAGTGGTAAATTATTTTGAGAAACGTCCGATTAATATAAAGAATTATAAGAATACTAAACTTCAAATAGAATAAATATTTCAGATGTGTTTCACAACAAAACAAACTCACAAGTACAAAACAGATGGATAGATGTATGTTCATAATTTGAAGAACGGTGGTCGTCGCGCCGCGCATGCGCGACATTTGTGTTGATAACAAACTATTTTCCCACAATCCGCAATCTCTTTTCTAATGTTTGATTTGTTTTGACTATATTTTTTGTCTTCTAACTATCTATATTATAATATTACTATCTATATTCAAAAATTCCAACTATTTTGCCAAAGCATGTCCTCGAAATTTAAACTTTGTAGCAATTGTTTACTTATCTCTTAGTCTCCTTCAAGTCAGAATCCAGAAAACAACCCCTAACACATTTCCATTTGTACAACTTACGCACAATTAAATATCTGTGTCAGGTGGGGATATATGTCCAGTAGTAAAAACAAAATCGAAGAAATGTTTAACCACATACGTTAAAAGTATAAACTGCAAGGCATGCTGGGAAATAATATGGTCTCAACTGTCACTCCAACTTTCTTTACCTTTTTGTCAATGTATTACTATGATTTATATTTTTGTTTTGCTTTTCAGACATGTTTCTCTCTTATATTAAAGCGGGGTCGTCACCTGCGCATGCGCGGGAATTGAGTCCCAAGCGATGATAACAACACACGCTAAAAACGCAAAGGCTCAAGGGTAGAAGCTTGTTTGTAAACATCTGACGCATGCGCAGGTGATGACTCCCTCTGCTTTAATCTGTTTGACAAAGGTGGTTTATATGTGTACAATCCAAATGCGACAAATCAGTAAAAGAAATCCGCCGTTTTCTCCAATAATTTGTGGCTGGTATTGGCGAAATATGGAAAACACGTTAAATGTTTACCATCACATATGTGAACAATGTTTTATCAGTAATGTCTATTTTTAATACCATGTGGACTGCTGGTTCATAAATAGGATAAAAAGCTGTCAAAAAATAAACATATCGGCGTCCCATCTACGTCAACTCTAATCTCCCTTAGACCACCGTCCCGTGTTGAGGGACGGTGCTTAGACGTAGCAACGATGTGATGAGGGCGTTATTCTTGTTGATGGAATATGTGTTATGCTCTCTTCCCGTGACGGTGTCATTTGCTGTAAGATATACTAGTATATTAACGCATCCCCAAAGGAATAGATTTGGTATGTTTCCTTACCTTATTGGCATCATTTGCTGCAAGATATATCAACCCATCAACGATCTCAGTTACTTCAAACATATACATAGGTGACATGTGCTCATCGCCGTTCAACGCATCCGCGTACACCAACAACAAAAACTTAATTATTTCATCTCCTGTAGAAATCTTGTCAACTTCTTCATCTTTGACGATGTAAGCCAAAATGAGAACGGAAACTGCTTGGATAGTAGCATGTTTGCAATGAATGTACTTGGATAATAGTTCTACCGCGTTAGCTTCGCGGAAATGGTGCCTGTTATCTAAACAGTTACGAATAACATTGTGCAAAATTCCCGTGGTAGAACGCACCACTCTGTCAGCGTTGATTGAAGAGTAATTTTCAGTTCCTGTCAGTTTATTTGGAGCATATTCAGGTTGTTTGAGCTGGGATAAAAGTATTTCTATAATTCCATATTTTCCGATTTCCCAGCACATTCTCGGGGAACAATCGGCAGCGTTCCAAAGCACAACCTTCGCACAGTCGAGATTGTATGCAGCACGGATCTCAGTGGGGTTGATTCCCGATGGCTTTGACTTGTCTAGTACTAGTTGATAATTTTTCAAGTTATGCCACATTTTTACAAATAATTTAGGATAATTTAGTTTAATTAGATAATTAGTCTTTTTGATCGTAGCTTCTTTGTCCGTTGGGTCCATATGTTCTGCCATTTCCTCTAAAATACGGAGAGCCTGATGGTCAGCATAGTCATTCATGTTGTTCAAATCAGAGATCCACTGATCGAATTCTTCCTTCAGTGGCACACTATCGTAATAATCGTCGTCGAATTCCTCTTCCTCGATCCTTGTTACAGCTTCGAATGAGGTATTATTCCCATAGTCACCGTGTATGCCGCCGTATGCTCCTGAGTATCCTGTTGATTCACGCCCACGGGGCGCGTCTTCGGCCGGTGACCTAATAGTTGCACTGGCACCGCAACCCATTATTATTCTGTTGAAAATATAGGATTTACCAACAACCATGTTTTTTGCTATTTAATTCCACTATTTTGGCATTAAAGGGCG